GCTTTTTTAACCAACAAATACAATTTTATTGATATTTTTAAAAAAAAAAACTAAAAAAAAATGGAAAATGAAAATGTCCCTAAACAGTTCAAAATTAATCAAAATATTTTGAAAATGTTATCGTGTATACAAAATGTAAATATAAACAACCAGTGAAAATTTCTTGTATATACGTTCATTTCTTTTAGAGTTACACCAAAAATCACAATCGATTTTTTGGAAAACAGATTTTGCGTAAAAATTCCCGTTTTTCCTTAATTTTTATGTTGTTTTTCCCGGTGCTTGTGAAAACTACTGGGAAATTTCGACCCCCCCCCCACCCCCAAAGTACCAACTAGATTCACTTTCCTATAAGAAAAGATACTGTTGAAGAAAATCCAAGCACTTTTACTGTCCTAAAACGTGATGACAGACACAAAAATAAAAAAAGGTACTACTAGGTACCAAAGATATGAATTAGTTTAGTTTATAAGTATATTACAATATAGTATACAGTATATTACTTAATTATTGTAATGATGTATATACATATTTAAAATATATTTCATGTGCTTAAATAAATTACTATTGTAATCTTAATAATCTTATAAATTATAAGTATTAATATTTTTATTTGTTTTTATGAATATTCAATATATTATTATTGAAGTTATGTCGCATTAAGATTTAACACATTATTTACATAATTGTATACCTACTTAATAGTATACAATTTGATAGATACTCATCTTTGATATTACAGTATAAACAAAAAAATAATACCTAAAATAAGAACACCAAATTTTTCTTTTTATCATCCATTTCTAGTACGCCCCCTAAATTCATAATACTTTAGACGCCCTAGGGCACTTGCCCCATTTGCCCCCCCCCCTTGGGACGGCTATGGGTGTTGGGTGTGTAATTCACAGGGGCCCTCGGTATTTGGGGGCCTCCAAATCTCATATACGATATTCCTACTATAATGTGTAATATACAAAATAATATAATAATAATTAAATATTAATACAATTAATATAATATAATCTATATATATATTATATTATAAAATAGAAGCCCCTTTTTTGTAAGGACGAGCATATCTCGAAATGAACTCTACTTATTTTAATATGGTTTTCACTAATAAATCGGTCGAGTCAAGGGAAAGGTTTTAATGTATAATATAATGTATAATGTATAATTTTCCTAGGTAAAATGAATTGGGTGGCCGAAAGTAATAACAATCTATGTCTATATATATAAAAATAAATGTCTGTCTGTATGTCATTGATCTCCTCCTGAACCACTGGGCATGTTTTGTGTGTTTTTGAGTGAGTCCCTGAATGGTTTAGATTCACAATTAGACCCAGTTGGTTCAACTCGGAGAGGTGCTCGAACAGGTATTTTGAGATTTATGATAGACATTTTTGTTTATGAATGGTTGCTATTGGTTATAGGAGAAATAATTATCGTAAAAATTAGGGTATTTTAATTGTTTGCCATTAGTTACTCTGGCAGATGAGGTAAAAGGATCCATAAAATCGTCGCCCGCTTATCATTACGAATAAAGAAATTATATCTTAAAACAAATATGAGAGTTGAATGTATATACAGGGTGTCCCGTGAGGATTTACTCATTGCGATATCTCCTGAAATAATGGAGATATCGTAATTATGTTTTTTTATTAAAACTCGCAGAGGTAAGCACTACAAATATTTTATTTTTTAATTAAATTAAATTTTTTAGTAAAAAATTCTATAGAGTATATTTTTGTGAACATTTTGAGCTTTTAACATTTTATTTTCATTAATCTCATGATTTTTAATAATTTTTTTAGTTTATTAGTAAAACGTCAATAAACTGGTTTTTGTCCGGGCGGCGAGTCCCCCTCTACGGATAATGAGTAAATCCTCACGGGACACCCTGTATATGTAGGTAGCTATTATATAGGTTCTCAAAAACTACTTGACCAAATTTGTGTAAATTTCAAATTGTTCTTGGAGATATCAGGAAAGTTTAAAGAGTAGTTTGAACCACGTTCGATTCAAACCAAGTGCTATTTAGCCTTTTAAGTTTGGAGAATTCGAATTACGAGTACCACCCATGCGAGAAACTTGTGTAATCTTAGGTATATTGCAGGTATTATAACTAGTAATTATTAACTATTATATGTGAGAAAACAATATTTTTTTTGAGTTACAATAAGGTATGACTGTATGTCTGTATTTCATTCTTGCTAGCAGGTAAGGGGCCCGGTCTAGAAATGTTCACATGTGCCCCTTTTTATGAAATTGCGCCACTGTACCAAACAATATTAAAATCCAACAATTTTGAAAAAAATAAAGTAGCATATTAAATTTAAGAGGCTATAGGTACCTATAATATTCGTTAGTAACTTTTTTAATAAAAAATTGTAAAAAAATAATTGATCCTTTGAGTAACCAATGAGTCCGTCCTTCCGCTAACTACTGTAACGCAAACAAAATTCAAAAAGGTAAGTCAAATAAATGTAATTGAATTAAAGAGGATGCTAATATGCATGAATGCTATAACGGAAACATCGTTTGAAATTTTTAGCAGTAGAATTCCACAATTTATAAATTTGCCTAGGTATCTTTAATGTTTAATCATTAAGAGGACGCTACCCATACATTTGTTGTCTCCGTCTTACACACGTACGACATGGCAAATTTTCGTTCACTAGTTTCAATAGTGTACTATTTTTAGTCTACTAGTTTTGATATTAGGGTGATTTGACCTATTATCAATATTTTAGATAATAACATTATTTGTGCTTAAGCGTTGGCTTTTATTCGGTATTTTAATTTTCATGCGAGTTATGAGCATTTTTAATTTTTGATATTTCACATACCCATATCTTGCTTGAAAATTAAAATTTCGAAAAATTGGCAAAGCTTAAGCACAGATAATGTTCTTACCTAAAAGTTTTATAATAGGTAAATTCACTCTAGTATCAAAACTAACAGCACACTATTGAAACTAGTGAACGACAATTTGCCATGTCGTACGTGTGTAAGACGGAGACAACAAATGTATGGGTAGCGTCCTCTTAATGATTAAACATTAAAGATACCTAGGCAAATTTATAAATTGTGGATCACGGTGTTTCTACTGCTAAAAATTTCAAACGATGTTTCCGTTATAGCATATATTATCCAGGGGTATAGTGGTGGGTACACGGCGTGTATCCACTTCCTAATTTTATATTTATGCGTGTACCCTTAACGAAAATGGTGGTACTTATGCCCAGGTACACGGACCATGAACAAAACGTATTGGGAGTTTACCAATTGCGCTTAAATGACCTTTTCATATACCAATTGCGCTCTAAACATTTTTGGGTCGATATACCAATTGAGCTCAAAACATTTTACACTAGGTACCTAAAGAAAATGTATTAGTTAGTTATAAACTTATAAATTATACTTAATCATATAATAAATTATTGCACTAATCGATTTTTTGAGAGTATTAATGTATAATACGTATTGGTATTACGTAATATAATATAAATAAATAAACAATTTTTTCTTCACATTTAATAAGTTACTTTTTGATCGTCAATTATATAGAATGTATGATAATGATAACTTGTTTTCGTCTATCTCTTTTAAATGCATAGGTACTTCCGTGATCAAATGTCCGTAATAATAATAACGTTTCATAAAATTCACAATACCGTAATATAATGTATTATAACCGCAGTTACTATAGTCTATAACCAGAAATCAATTGATCAATAAATACGTTTTTAATTTTCAAGCATTTTAGTGTGTTTATATTAATGTTGATGGAATTAGATCGAAAAACAATACCTATCTCTAAATATGAAGGTGGCCAGGGAAATTTGAATACAACCGCAATTGGTATATTGACAATAAAATACAAATTTTATTTTGGGGCAATTGGTCCATGCCCGACGTATTAACGTTACAAAGTAATTATATTAGGTACTATTTATTAAATAGTAAAAGATGTTAATAGGTAGCAAAAATAATATTATACAGTATAGGACTATAGACGTACATTGATATAAAATATAATATTATCTTATTTATCTTGCACAAAATATTAGGACACAACTACCTTTTGTCTAATACATAGATGTTATGTGTATTTGTGTAGAAAAAATGTTTCTACTTGTCAGCTAAAAATAGAGAAATTCCTTAAAAATTATCAAGGTAAAAAAAATTTAATAAAAGCTCTACAACTGAAGACCCAAAATACAAATTATATTTATGGCAATTACTTTCATCATGTAAAAAGGATTAAAAATGTTTCATAATAATATCTTATTTTAAATTTTGAGTGTTATTGAGTTTTTAATTTTGTTAAGCATTATACGTTTTAAACATTATTTATGGATCACGAGTTAATTTATAAATATATAAATTTAAATATTATTTATTTAAGTTTACTTTTTTAGTAGATTTATTAATCACCTTTAATAGGTACTTTTAATGTTTATCTTACATGGGTAAAGATATTCTTTATACATATTAGTTTAAAATTGATATAACAATATACTTTTAAGCTAATTAAACTGAAATAATTGGCCGACTAGACTAATTTTATGAACAGTCATGGAGTAGTGCATAACAAATTTGCTGTATGATCTTGAAGTTTACACGGCTTATCCAATCTTAACATTAAGTGTTTAAAAATAAATAATTAACATCAACTTTTAAAAAAGTATTCTGTTCAATAAAATAACATTTTTAACAAAAATTAGAAACCTTAAAATTGTCATTATAAAAGATACTATAAACTAATTTTTTATTAAATGTGGATGTTGGTTTTTAGCAAAATATAAATACATATATAATCAACTTTCTTAAAATAAGTTATTGATTAATGTTTGTATGAAGTTTTTACAGCAATGATAATAATGCGGGTTGTAATGCTGTACGTCATCTGTAAGTATTGCATTACCAATATCCTTATTAAGTGGTTCAGTTGATGTAAAATCTCAGGCTCTTCTTTTAGGTAGATGCTTGCTCTTCTAGTTTTTTATGTTTTGATCTTAACAATTAATAAATATTATGCATAAAGATTTATTTATTATAAAAATGTATTTCCATAATAGTCAATACAATACTTGGAGAAAATATATTGCTCAAGCGCAATGCTTTCTTTTTTAATTTTGACATGACTGTCTTATCTTTTTTAACTGAAGTCTTATTATAATCAATTTCTGGAGAACTATATTGTTCTTTCTTATCATCTTCACAAATGGTAACTTCAGAAGATTCTTGATTTTCACACTTTTAATTAAAACAAAAATAATTAATTAATAAATATTTTATTATGTACTAATAGTTATCAATACCATTTCATGTAAACAATTATCCTGTTCTACACTCTCATCGATAAACCTATAACACTCTTCCAGCCTTTTGTTAACTAATTCTTTGACATCAAGTTTTATTAAATCCATTAAAGAGGTATTTTTAAATAATTCATTCACTCGATTTTCACCAAGTATCAATACAATTTTTAAACTGTCTACATAGTCAGAAGACAATAAAGGTTCAGACAAATTTTCACAAACACTGTTATCATTAATATTCATACGCGCTTCCAGTCTTAGTTTCTTCAACTCATAAAAATCTCTGTCTGAACTTAAATCAGTTTTACATTGATAACAATCTGTATTTGTCTGATCTATGTCTGAAATATTCATACTACATATTCCTTTAAATTCATTCATAGGTGTTGCATCAATTGTCCGAGGTGGTCGTTTTGGAGAGCACACAGGAGTTGAATTTTCAGTTAAAAGATTTGTCTGTACACATTTTGATGAATTTTCAGACTCATAAAAATCACACTGTTGGTATTTATGATGTAAAACTGAAACATAATTTTACATTTTGGATAATATTTGTTTTACATATTTGTAAGCATTTACATATTTATTCTGGTTGGTCGTATGATATGCTAAGTGAGCTCAGAATTTATTTCATGACATAACAATTTATGGTATTTTTTATTTATCAACATTTAACCATTTTTTTTTATTTTAAGGGCTTATTTTATGATTTTAATTGCATATTTCTTCTTTCAGTGCATATTTCTGTTTTATTGTTTTTTTTTTTTTAAATTTTTGAAATAATTACTAAAGTAATATAGAAAAAAAATTTATATTTTTCTAGTTTTGTTTTAATATCGAATAAATTAAATTAATAGGTATACTTGTAGGTATAAACTGTTTTCCCAAATATATTTGGGAAATAATTTTTTCCTTATATAATTTTAAAACTACCTGCAAAACAAATATTTTAAAGTAAAGTATTAATAGAAACATTCCATAATTTTAAATTTATTATTTTAATTAAATATTCAGAAAATACATGTCTTGCATATGTTTTGCATATTTAAGATTTTTCAGCGGATATTTGGTTGGTTTTTATTAAAAATTCTAAAGGTATTCCACTTGAAGGGCTCATTCCAATTCACAAAATGTCATACAGCATTGAGGCTATAATAAAAGTTGGAATGTTCTATGCCCAAGATTTACATTGAAGTTCAGAATTACTAAGCAGAAATAAATCTTTGGAATGCAAAATGAAATAAAGTAGAAACAAATGTTCCTCATACTGTTACATCACTCCCATATTGTGAAGAATTTTTCCAAATATCAAAATCCTCTTACAATTTTTGGCTATGCTCCCAGTATCGATAGCTACTGCTGAAAGGTCGTGTTAATAGGTCATGATAAATTACATGCGCACAACAATGACTTTAAACATATAGATATTGACTAAGTTGTAAATAAATTTATTAGAAAAAAAAAGAAGAATGCATTTAGAGAACTGGCCAGTCTAAATTATAAATATAAACAAATAAAATAATAATTTAATTTTTTGAAACAATTATGTATCTTAATTAATAATTATATGTCAAACTGTTTATGTAATACATCCTAAACAAATGCACATTACAAGACTAATTTTCCTAGCCATTTAAGCTTTAAATTATTATTTTTTTTTCCATAATAACTAATAAGTAAGTACTTCAGGATCATTATACTCAAACTAGCACTCACCATATCAAAAATCCTAGATCCGCCCCTGGTTTTTAATACATAAAAACCCAAACTCTAATATTATCATCATAATTATGCGTATGTCCTCCTGACAGTGGTGGCAGGACTGTTATCAGGAGTTTGAATCTCTCACCACCAAAATGTTTTTAATTGATCTGTATTTATAATAAAATATATCAAAAACACTAATTTGTACTCAAAAACTTTGATTTATAATAGTGAAGTATTTTAAAATTAGACTTAATCGTTTCTAATTAGTACAACTCGTTGAAATAAGGTACATGTAAAATTACACAGTCATTAGTCAATTTTAAGAAATTAATATAAATTTTTTTTAAATTTATTGTACTCATAGTGTCTGCTGATAATGACATCATACAATATTAAAATAATAAAATATAGTGAATGAATAAATGAATATTATTATTTTACAATATACTGTATACAAATTAAACAGTGTAACCGGAAGAACTGACAGATGAAATAACTTTTGTTCAAATTTTTTTTATATATATATAACTTATAGGCACTTGTGCTACACGTATAATATAAAAAAATTATTTTAGTTTTTTTTAATACTTAATAAAAAATTTTAAATTTGATTAACATTATTTTGGAAAAATTCAAAACCGCCAATTTGTAAATCTGTTTATAAGAACCGTTTTAATGGTATAACATTTATCTAAGTCAAGTAGTAGTATTTTTAAGAATTTTTTAAAATATCAATATTTTTATGAGTTAATTAATTTAGAACGTAATACATTTTTTCAAAATATTTTTTTTTCCTCTCCTGTGCGCACACTTATGATTATCATTGAGAAGGATGCTGGTAACTTAATTATTTCAGTACATTTCAAAGCAATAATAACAATCTTTCACAATCAATAAAATAATTTGAGCAGTTTGTCCTTGCTGTGTTTTAATGAAATGTTCAAAATAAAACAAACAACATTTAACAATAATTTTTGAGATAATTAAAATATGGAATAATGGCTATAATGACTAACAGTTAATCTTGTTTTTATTTTAAAATAAAAAGTAAACAGTAAACTTGATAGGTTGTAATTTTAAAAATTAAAATTATCCATATCTAAAAATTTGTATTGACATTTACAAACAAAGGAACTTGTTTAGGTTTATTTTCATACTATGGAGTTATGTAAAATTCATAATTATGCTACACTCTCCTAACATATTCAGTACTAAGATCAGTGGTGGTTGTGACCATAGTGCAGAACGTGAAAAACCGAAAAAATTTTATAAAAATTATAATTGGTTATTAAGCACATTCTGTAATATAAAAATTGCTTATAAAAAGGAAAAAAGGTTTTTACAGCTTTACATATTGAAATAGTGCGTATTTTAACAATTAAATAATATGCAGATCACAAATCAGTGTCCTAAGCAGCCGTACAAATACTTTGTAGCTACTTTTAGAACTTTTTGTACTTCCCCCCCCCTACATGCCCCTCCAAAACTTAAGCCCTGGATCCGCCACTGCAATTAACAAATATTTATTAGTAAACAATAAAAATGTCCTCTTTTTTATAAGACACATCTGGTCACCCTATAACATGCATCGACACATCACAAGTAAAAAATGGTCTTCTAGAGTACAATTTATGTAATTACCAGACCTATTTTTGTTGTTGCGTGCTATCACACGTCAATTTCTGAAACTACCACAATGCATTAGGTATTAACTGATGCCACTGTGCTCTAATATCAAAGTTAACTACTAGGTATCAATAATATGTAAAAACAGATTAAAATAATTAATTTGAACTTAAAAAGATTAAAACAATTAAATGTAGATAGGTAAATTATATTTAATACGTACTATGTGCTCAGAATGTACCTATAACCAAATTAAATTTTACCAGTCTACATAGTAAGAATCTTATAAAGTTATTTGTGAACCTCACGAGACGCCACTGACTAAGACAAATTAACTTTGACTGGTATCCATAGACCCAAATAAAATTAATTAAGATTTAAAAATGAAGTATAATTACTAGTTTTAGATTTTGAAGAATTTTGATTTACTTCATATTCATTTTTAAGAGTATTATAATTTTCTTCTAAACTTTCATATTTTTGTTTCCAATACATTTCTTGTATCTGCATAGGGTTATCGCCTGGTTGAGGTATTAACTAAAAAATAAAATACAAATATAAAACTATGCACTCAAATACACCAATTTGATTAATATTACAAGTAACTTACATGATATAATAATTTATTTTTATGAACAGAATTACAGTTATTTAGGTCATGTTCATCTATGTTCATTTTAGAATTCTAAAATCATAAAATTTAATACTTCAACTTTAAATTAACATATAAAACAAATAGGATGCAATTTTAAAAAATACGTTACTTTTAATTTATTGTCAAAAGTTGATGTAATTTCTTTCAATTGTGTTTGAAGTTGAAAGATCTCTGATTTTAAGCTATCAACATTCTCATTTTCTGGTGAACTTGTAAAAGTGCAAGAGTTAAGTTTATGTCGACGGAAACAATGATATTTTAAATAAGAAACATCCATAAACATCTTTCCACACAACTCACAAAGCGCCATTGAATCTACCTAAATAAATAAGTATTCATTTAATAGTTATTAAAAGGACGCTAAACCTGCATGTGTTGTCTCTGTCTTACAAATTTAAAACATAACAAATATTGTTTTGTAAGAATCAAACAGGCTGTAGCCCAAGATGAGCAACCATATTTCCACACTAGAAAGAATACAACATTATTTTTAATAAATATGATTAGTGGTTTAAAATTTCATCATTTTTTAGTTTTTCAAACTTGAATATGTGTTTTATAGTTCTAATATCGAAAAATTAAAAACAACATTGCACAGTTCAATGTTCACCTCTTTATTATGTGAAAATTTGGTGGCTTAGCTTGGACTAGAGTCTGAGTGGTTTTTACCCAAGCAAAACAGTTATTGCTATGTTTTAAAATTGTAAGACGGAGACAATACATGTAGATGTAGCAACCGTTTAATGTAAAACTAAGACAGTTTATTATACATACTTTATCATTGATCTTAAAAGTTGAATGTTTTTTATAATGCAACAAAAAGTCTATGATCAATTGTGAAAGACGAAATATTTTCTTAGACGCACTCATTTTCTCAATATTGTAACTAAGAACACTGGCTACAAGCATTGACAGAGTCTTTACATCAGCTTTTTCAACTACATCATCAATGACAAATTCTTCTACACAGGTCAATCCACAGAAAAACCATTTTAAGTAATGGTATGAAACTATATATTATAATTACAATATAACAATTACCTAAATATTCCCAGTCCACTGAACCACTGTATTGGTTGAATCGAAATCCAGTGCAAGTCGCTATACGTTCAAAATCCGAAGTCACCAGTCGCAAGAAATCATCCATACTCAAGTTTCAAAAATTATAATAACCGTACCTATAATAATAGTATAGTCAATTATAAAGTGGTAAATCACTACCTACCCATTAAAATAATAAAAATGTACAGGATTAGTAGATATGATTATATGAACACACATGTAACAAACAGTCGTGAGATCAAAATACACAGTTGCAGAGATTTTAACGGATCAAGTGATTATAAATATTAAATCATAATAATTAACTGATAGATTGAAATAGATAATATATATTAAATCGACGTGTTGTGGACTAGAGATCTCAACTCGCAGCTAACAGGTATAAATCATACATATAATCATTCATATGGAGTAACATTGTACATTTTCCGACCTGAGGAATCAGCAATTATTAAGTGCCTAATTGCTAAGACTGTAAAACAAAATATAATAAATAATAACAAAGATTTAAAATGCATAAAGTACGCCAGTTGCACGGTAAGAAAATTTGAAATCTAACAATCGTCGTTATCTCTTTTAAGCGTAATTTACGAGCGAACGGATGATAACGTAAAAATTAAAAAATGAGAAAAAATCCATAGACCTTACAGGTTGGCGTGGTTGGGTGAATGGCATAATAACATTATTATTTTAGCCATATTTTAGCCATGACCGAGACCAAATGACGTAGTTGTCGTGCGCAGTCATTGTTCTATGGTCATACTATAATTAAAACATAACTGATATTATTAAAATATTAAAAAAATTGTATTATGTAATTAATAGTATTTAAAGAAAATTAGATAAATACACAATGTATTTTTATTTAAACATTATTATTTTAGGTGCTAGGTGTCTAGGTACACTAGTTGGGTCCCGTAATGTTTTAGGTAGGTACCTATTGTGGTGTATTGGTACGGGTACGCGGGTATACGCCGTATACCCATCAGAAGATTTTCGATTTTCGGCGTATACCTAAGGTGACCATACGTCCCGCTTTCGAGCTAAGTGTCCCGCTGTCCCCAAAGAACTTAAAAATATCCCGCTTTAAGAAAAGTCGACTTGTGGTAAGTATTTATTGATCACAAATCACAATCATACATTATTATTTATACTGTATAGACGTACCTATAGTATAACTACGTAATATATATATATAATATATATAGTTATACATGTAGTAAAACTAGATGGCCGTAAATTGAAACCCTACCCACTCTCTTGGGCAGACCAATAAATCTAACCATTTCTTTTTAATTTCCATCCACTAGTAGAGGCTAAGCCTGGAATAGTTAACGGCATAGCCATCCCTTTTAATGCAATGCAATGCAATGCAATGCAAACTAGATGGCTTGCGTTGATGCCTGCACTGGAAAGCGTATTGAAAATGTTTCAGCCATTAAAAAATTATTTTCTGAGCATTGATAAATGCCCGAATATACTGAAAGAATTTTTTGAAAATCCCAGCTCTGAATTATGGTTGTATTTTATGCACGCACAATCAGCTACATTTCATCAAGCTGTATTAAAGATCGAGGGCCAAAACGTGTCTGCAATAGATGCCGCAAATGAAATTAATACGGTATACCCAATGTAAAATCTTATTTTACGGGTATACGTTTCAAAAATAACCAGAAAACCAAATAAGATTTAAAATGTATTTAATAGTTCATACAGGAAAAAAAAGTTACCTATTCGTTATTATGTATTAATGAATTATTTATCAATTGAAGTAGGTATTGAATATAAGTTACCTATGTAACAATATATGCGTTGTGTTTAATGTATTTTGAGGGTTTAAGTTCAATTTAGTAAACCCAATATTGAATACAAAAAATCTTTGTGGAAAATTTTATAGATTGTCTGATTGTACCTATAATAATAATGTTATTATTATTTTAATTTTTTTGACATTCGAGTTGATTTTGACTCAGTGTTTGTCAAGTTCCTTATAAAAAGGAATTCGTTCCGTTCCTTGTTCCTTTTTAAAAAAAGGAATTCGTTCCGTTCCTTGTTCCTTATTAAAAAAAAGAATTCTTTCCTTTGTCGTTCCTTTGGAAAAGAACTAGTTCCTTTTTTAGTTCCAGATAAAATAAAAATTCTTATTTAATCATCAATTTTTTTTCTTAACAGATATACTTAGGTACTTTAATTTTTAATTATACCTATACATACCTATACAAGTAAATTTATAATTTACTATTAAGTTTAAGAAAATAATACTGACTGCAGCTTTTAGTAATCTATTTTGAGATTTTCTTTAAAATTAAATTGATGACCAACGTATGCCAACTGTCTTATCATATTTTATTGTTGTTATAAATAATTATCATTAAAATAATATTGTAACGTCTTATTAATATAGTAATATATTATTATACATTTTAGCTGTAGGTACTAGGTATTAAAATAGTCCCGACCCGCATAATAATTCATAAATTATTTTATTGTTCAGTCTTCAGTATTCATGCTATTTTATTTTCCGTCGACGCAACAACAAGGATTTATATTTTATATAGTAATAATGTAATAATATAATAGTATATACCCATTTCTATATATTAAGTTATAACTTATGAGTTATGACTTATGAGAAATATTAATAAAGTTACTAATGACTAATAAGTAATGAGTACCCTGTACCAGAGTACCTACCTAATGATTAATGACTAACTTTAACTATTAAGTTTGATACTCGGATACTCGATAGTCGATAACAATCATAATATTGGAAATATACACACTAAGAAAAAAAATATTTCAATTTCAATTATTTATATATCTGTGTAAATTGGAACTTGAAAGGAACCAAAAATTTCGTTCTTTTTCCTTGAAAAAAAGAACTCGTTCATTTCCTCGTTCTTTTTTTATAAAAAGGAATTCGTTCAACGTGCTGTTCCTTAAAAAAGGAATTCGTTCCAGGAATCCGTTCCTTTTGGAACTCGTTCCTTCCAAACACTGGCATTTTGTTTTATTTTCTATTGTTACATTATAAAAAAAATTAATAAAATAATTTTAAAAACTATGTACTAATTGAACTGCAAAAACGTTATATAATATATACGATGATATAATTTGATCGTTTAGGTTACATAGGTACATATTTTATTGGTGCGTATACCCATAAATATATTTACCAATACACCACTGCCTATTACACTAGTTTGGTGCTAGATTATTTTAGGTAAGCATTATTAAATGATACAAATATACAATACAAACTAAAAAATATTGAAAATGCATAATATGTAATATTAAATACGGTTCAAAGGTATTACTTGTGTAATTTAATATTATTTTAATTGTTTCCTCAATTATTGATGTATAATCTAAACATTTCACTTAATATATATACGTATATCTGCTCATATTTTACTTATTTGATATTATTTATTTAGTTTTGTTTTATAAATTACATATTTGTTTTAAATTTAATTATATGATGCTTGACACGAGAAAAAAAAAATATATCTGCTGAAGAAATTAGTCAATTCAATTTTTTTAAATTAATCTTAAACCTTTTTATATTTTACCAACATTAAATAGATTTTTTTAAATTATTGTGTTGTATTTACTTATCGAAAAAACAGGGACTTAACTATACTCTGTTTAAAATAAGGTACACAATCGGCCACCAATATTAGGGGCGTGGCGAACTAAAAATTTTCCAGAGGCAAATTATAAATGCATAATAATGTATTCATATAATATAACTTGTTATATTTCAGATTGTAATTAGACTACCTATATAGTAACTATATCATAATATTACATTTCCAAGGGGAACCCCTCTAGGTATTTAAGAAAAATCTCATAGGCAATTGCCTCTGAAATTACAATTCACCACTCCACTGGCAATACTATATGGGCACATGGCTGGTTTATGGACGGTTACCTGACTGCCGTCCATTCCATTGGCGTAGAATATAGGGGGGTCTAAGGGGCTATAGCCCCCCTGTAATTTTGTTTAGCCCCCCCCCCGTCCAGTAAATTGTTTTAGTTACATTTTTAAAATTGATGTTATGTACCAGAAACATGATAGGCTATAAGCCCAATGTATAAATATTAAATTCATCATGCTACTCCTACGCAGTGTTGCTGAATAAAAATGGTCGCAGCCGACTGTGATTCTTATTTTGAATAGCAGAGTGTAGTAGTGTAATGTATTTGAATTTAATGATAAATCATTGCATATAAAAAACGATTATGAGCGGATATTAGACCATCTGCTTATATTTCTAAGGATACTTTTATTCAAGACATTTAAACCTTATAAACATACAAATTTTAACTTTTTTAATTAAAAAAAAAAGAACTGATTTTATATGATTTTTTCTATTATAAAACAAATATTTTAGTTTATTCTACAGCTACTCTCACACTGCCAGCGCCTGTTGACACCTAAAAGACTATTCAGCGAAGACGTATAAGTATTTACAGTCAGACCAAATTTTTTTGATGAAATGACTTGAAATATTGTTATTCTGCAGATCCAATTGATCTTACAAGGATCTTACTTTATAATATATTCACATACAATATTGTCATTTATTCGTATTTCTTAAATAAACAGCACAAATACTCAAAATATTTTGAAAATTATATCATGTTAAACCCAAAGGTTACCTATTTATATAAGATCCTTTAAAAACTTGAAGTGTCATCTTTAAATAATATTAATGGTTTAAATTAAAATTTACTTTTCATTGCAATGAACACATGGTTGAAATTTATTGACCACTTTAATGAAGCTAATTGTCTGTCAATTTTTTTTTTTAATGTCTAAAATATGTAATTGGGATATGCTCAATTTTAGGTCATAATTAGCTCTTGGGAACTCTAACAAATTGAACTATAAAAAGACAATTTTTTTTTTAAATTTAATTTATCTAAAAAGACTAAAACAAAAACAAAAATTGAAAAATCAGAGCAAAGTAACCCCAAACGATGGTAATATAAAATATCACAAAATAAATATTTTTATCAACTTGATTAAGAACGGCAAAACTAAAAACGTTGCTTTTATATATTATACGGATGTAATGGTTCGGCTAAGTGTAGTGTCGAGCAAGTTTTTACTTTTTTGATAAAAAAAAACTAAATATTCATAGATTGCATACAATAGTTTCAAGTTTGTGGTACCCATGGCTGAATCACGGCTAAATAATGTTATTTAGCCATGGGCTGAATAACCGAGAAAGTAGAAACATTAGATTTTTATAAATAACCTAAAATGATCAAATCAATGGTCACATTTTAATTTTTAAAAAAATAATGTATTATGTTGTTAATTTTAAATTGCATATTAGTTATTAGTTAATTAGGAATAAGTTTCAACTAACTGTCTAACTATCTACTTATAGTATATAAATAATTTTTATATTCCCTGTCTCTACTTATATGAAATAAAACATGTCATAAGCAATACGTTTATCACTAATCAGATTATGGTGAAACAAAAAACTGAAAAATGGAAATATCTTGACAAATTCCTGCAGACACTCTTGGTGGGGCATATTAATGATAAATATAATTATTTTTAAATTTTAGTTTTAGTTGTTAAGTTTTTATGTAATTTACCTTCAGTATGTTTTAAACATATTTCTATATTCATATAAATATTTTGATTTTTATAAGGTAGGTAGGTCAGGTCTGACCCATACTCTTTCAATAAATTAATAAAATAATGTTCCCAAAGTATTTTAAGACAGTCTAATGTTTATAATATTTATAGATCTTAAAATGTTTCCAAAATATTTCATAATCATAATAATTTACTAAATGCAGTCTTTGAGTCTATGATAGGCATCAGCTTAATCTCCAAGAGTAGGTACTACTAGGTACAACTGTATAAAATCTTGCACCGTCTAACTGTATAGGTCGGTAGATTAGTATCATATGTAGATCCATCATGCCTAAAGATTTTTTAATTAGGATTCAGTTTTAGATCATATTATTAACTTCTAATAATTGTTTGAATTTTTGAAGATTATTTCTAATCTTCATGGCACAACCTTTACTTGAGTTACAGTTGTCGGCGAAATTTTATCTTTGGCAAATCATCATGCATTGATAAACTATATAGTCC